CCGGCTCGGCTCTGTTCGCATTTGGCATGGCCACCAACGTCCACTCGGACTACATCTTGCGCAACCTGCGCCGACCGGGCGAGACAGGCTACAAGATTCCGCAAGGCGGCATGTTTGAGTACATATCCGGCGCAAACTTGTGGGGCGAGGTGGTGGAGTGGCTCGGCTTTGCCATCGCGACGCAGACGCCCGGCGCGGCGGTGTTCTCGCTCTTCTGCCTCGTCGGGATTGGCGGCCGCTGCGTGGCCACTCACGGCTGGTACCTCCGAAAATTTGGCGATGCGTACCCGCAGCAGCGCCGACGCATGATCCCTTTTGTCTGGTGAGAGGGCGGCTGCAACAGCAGTCGGCAGGCCCAGCGGCACGCACCGCCGCGCTCGCGAGTTCGAGAGAGTTTTTTTGCGTTTGGAAAGAGTGTCAGGACGCGAGCTCGCAGGTCGCCCAATCACTTGCCCAATCGGCAATCGCCCATCAACACTCTACATATATCCAGTGTGCAATCTTTACCGGTATGGGAGTTTTTGGCTAATCAAACCCAAGGCCTGCACTAATCAAAAAGTGGTACGGGATACCAGTTGCCTCACGGAAATCAAAGCGAGTCGGAGTGCCTTCTTGGTGGCAAAATCGGCAAAATCGGCAAAATACCGGGTATTTTGCGGGTATACCTGAAAAAAATAAAATATTCTTAGCTTCAAGCCCCCCCTCCGAGACTGGAGACAGAACCCACCCGTACACAGGAGAGATGGGACTGCCCCCCGCCCCCACTTGCCCTGACTACACAGGATAGCGTGCCCCGAAGACGGCGACACATAGTGGGGGACACTGCGCAAGGAGGGGGTGCGAAAGCTCATTGGGGTGCTAGGTGGGACCATGAGGGGGGGTGGGCGGGGTCCTGTGGGGGTGAAATGTTGCGCGGCGAATTCGAGCCTACCCCCTCGCCGCGCCGATCCTCACGCGGAGGGTAAAACCCTGTGGGACAAAACCCCTCCGCGGTCGGCTGTCTTCAGAGTGGACCCCCCCCTCCCCAGCCTCCCCTGTGCATCTCGCACCCCCCCCCGCTCCCCATCGGTGACTCGCGAAGGACACGGACACTCGGGGTGAGGGGGGGTCCCCCCGGAGGGGGCTCTGGGGCATTGTTGGGTTGATCGCTCGTGCCGATCTCGGGTCGATCTCGGGTCGATCTCGGGTCGATCTCGGGTCGATCTCGAGTCGATCTCGGGTCGATCTCGGGTCGATCTCGGGTCGATCTCGAGTCGATCTCGAGTCGATCTCGGGTCGATCTCGGGTCGATCTCGGGTCGATCTCGGGTCGATCTCGAGTCGATCTCGGGTCGATCTCGGGTCGATCTCGGGTCGATCTCGAGTCGATCTCGAGTCGATCTCGGGTCGATCTCGGGTCGATCTCGGGTCGATCTCGGGTCGATCTCGGGTCTCGGGTCGGTCTTGGGTCGGTCTCGGAGTGGTCTAGAAAAGAAAAAATGTGGGGCGAGATGAGGCGGAGATGAGGCGAGGTGAGGCGAGGTGAGGGGCGATGAGGCGAGATGAGGCGAGGTGAGGCGAGATGAGGCGAGATGAGGCGAGTGGTGAGATGAGGCGAGATGAGGCGAGATGAGGCGAGATGAGGCGAGATGAGGCGAGGTGAGGCGAGATGAGGCGAGGTGAGGTGAGATGAGGCGAGGTGAGGCGAGGTGAGGCGAGGTCCGAGGCGAGATCCGAGATGAGGCGAGGTGAGGCGAGATGAAGCGAGGTGAGGCGAGATGAAGCGAGGTGAGGTGAGATGAGGCGAGATGAGGCGAGACTAGGAGGCGAGATGAAGCGGGATGTTGTGTGGCTGCTTGTGCTGCCTAGCAGGCAGCACAAGCCGTCATACAAGTGAGCTTTTGGGTTGTGTGGCTGC